TTAACAATTTATAATCTAAGAATTGTTTTTAGGCGGGAACTTGGGGGTGTTACAAGATTTCTCTAAAACGTTTTTACACCTTTACTCTCTAGATTATTCTAAATAAATGCATCAATATTTAATAATAGTACTTGTAACTAAGTATTATAGTACTCAAGATGTTTTCTTTTGGACTGATTTTCAGTGCCAGACCAGACCAGACTTAAACGGATCAGATCGGACCAGACTTCCATAGTTATAAAATACACAGAGACCAGACTTTTACAGACCAGACCAGATCAGACCAACAAATAGGGGTGGGATCGGTCCGGTCTGGGTCGGGTTTTTGCTAAACCCGGAAATTACCTGGAAGGTCTCGGGTTATGAAAATTAGGGACCGGAACAAAGCCAATTATATTCGATCCGAGTCGGGTTTTTGGTAGCCCGGGTTCGGTCCGGGTTCGGGTTGGACCAATTAAAGCCCGAATGTGAACTATCTCATTATTCTTTTATATTTTAACACCTATTTTCAAATAAAATTAATGAAAAATACAAACCGCAAATAATAACACAAATAGTAGTCTTCAAAATCACCAATAATTCAAATCCTTAGAAGATAATTATCTTAATATTTTATTTAAGATGCATATAGATAAATAATATAGGTTTCTTAAAAATATTACGAAATAAAATTTATAGATAAAAATGTGACTAGAGTTCGTATAGATATATTTTCATGGTCATTATGCTAAACAAATTGAACATATTTGTAGTCACTAAAAGTTACTAAATGATTTTTTTATCCACCGTGATTATAATCATATATTAGGAAATATTTATAAATTTATATTCATATATTATATTAATTTTATATTAAAGCTAATTGTTTCGGACTTTATCGGTCCGGGCCGGGTTATAAATTTTAAGGCCCGTTAATGAGCTCGGAGTTTCGGGTCCGGTCCGGGTACTTTTAATTTGGTCCGGTTAAAAAGAAAAAACCCGGACCGGGATCATAATTCGGGTCGGTCCAAGGTCGGTATCCGGATTTCGATTCGGTTTTTCCCACCCCTACCAGCAAATTCCAGTCTAAGGGAAAACATCCTCATTGTTACTGTATCCGTTTAATCATTGAATATTTTAATATTAAATTTTGTGTTGACTTGTAGTTATGTTATAACCAACAACATTAAGCTCTTGGAAATAAAGAACATTGTACGTTAAGGTAGATATGTCTTATAGAGATGGATAAACTGGAGTTGATTTGCAAGAACTTGGTTTGTCCAAGATAATAGAATTAATAGAATACGTATATTTATGTATTTTACATATAAACTCTTTCTCTATAAATATATTTCTCTATAAATATATTTGTCAGGGCTCCTTAGAGAGCATCATTTTCTATTATTTCACATGGTATAAAGAGCACAAAATAAATCCTAATTTTTTTCCAGCCTTCTCTCTCTCCACCGTGATGACTTCCGCATGGTTTACCGCCTCCATCGCTACTTCCTTGACGGTGGTTCCATCCACCCTGGCCGGTATCTCCCAGTCTTCCTCCGCTGCAGTCACGCGCGTCTCTTCTCCTGCAATCACGACCGACGCTCCCTCCACTGTGGGTACACAGTCGGTTCACTGCTCGGCCGAATCAAAGGTGACTTTTTCTTCAAGCTTCGCCTCGCCCAGTTGCCCCGCCATGCCCTATTCTCTCTTCCAGAATTTGCCGCCGGTTTTCCCTTGGCCAACTCCTTCTCCGGTTCAGCACGTGCCTCTGGATCTACCACCCTTCTCAAGTTTGTTTTCTGGTCCCACATTTGTCGGCTCGCCGAGGGTCTCTTCATTTGTTCCGCATCCTCGCATGCAGCAACACCCACAGGTGGCTCTCCACTAACTGAATTGGCTCAAACAATATCTCATGTGGCCACTAATGTCACCAATATTATTACTACAAAACTTCTGGCAGTGGAAGATTACACTACATGGTGGATCCAGTTCGAGTCTTTCCTTGTCTCGCAAGGTCTCTTGGGCATGGTTGATGGCTCTATTCAGGTACCCTCTGCTTATTTCATAGATATACTAAACCGTCAAATTCTCAATCCCGAATATTTCTACTTGGTTGCAACAAATTGATCAAACCATTCGTTCTTGGTTGTTTGCAACTCTTTCTGGTGATGTTCTTATTGATGTTCATGATTTAAAACACTCTTTTAAAACATAAAACATTTCTATGTCTGCTAGCGTAGCTAGATCTATGGAATTAAAGCGTCTTCTCTCACACAATACTCGGTTTTATACCCGTCCGATCCATTCTATGCTGATATATTTTGAGGTTGTATTCCAATCTGTTTTTAATTTCACCCGATTGTCCGTTCCATGTTATACATTATGATTTAATTTTCATTATTCTTGTCCTTCATGAATAAAGAGGCTACCAATAGATTCCTGGTGAAAGGTGCTTTTTCTTATTCCTGAATTGAGAATCAATCCGGTCGAACTCTATTGATCTTATTTGAACCTTTCATTGAATGAAAACAATATGTACGTGTCTTCTAGGGGTGTTTGGAACTGATTCTGCTTCTGCTTCTTTTTTAAAGCAGAAGCAAGATCAGAATCAGAAGCTGGTACCCCCCAGCTTCTAAAAAAACTGATTCTGAGAGTAAATTAGAGCACCAGAAGTGCTTCTGGAACTTCACCCAAACACTCCGACTTCTGCTTCTGCTCCCTGAAGCAGCAGAATCAGTTTTGAGAATCAGATCCAAACACCCCCTACTTAATTGTATATATCCGGCGTGGTGATATGAACAGCTTCGAGCCCGTTTGGTAGTAGCCAAATCGGCTGTATTGGCTAATTGTGCTGAAATTTATTAAGTTCTGGCTGATGTGGCTGTATTGGTTGATTCTGCTGATTTGTGAAAAATAATAATTTAAAATACATTTTATTTATAAAACAAAGAAAAAGTTATATGAGAAAATATCTAAAATGGCCCTCTACAGTAACTTCAGCTAATACAGCCAGAAAAGTAACTCCAATCTTACCTTTTCTTATTATTACACAATTCAGCCTACAAAATCAAAAGTTACGTGCTAGACTGGCGGATGGGCAATTGGGGCGACGGCTCATGTGAATGAAAAAAATTAAATTCTTTCTGTATATGTTATGAGTCAACTTCATTCTTTACATGTTAGACCCACTTAATTTCATTTTTAAGAGAGAAAGAACAGAAAGCATCAACCCTAGTCCGGGTGGACTCAAACCTGCGCGCAGTGATGGGAACCGTCGTCCCGGAGATGCCATTTGAGGGTTTTACAGGTCGAATTTTTGATGAAATTTTGTGTGTTTCGGAAAATAAAGAAAAACAAGAAAGGAGATGGAGCAGAATTTAGCCAAAGCTCGTGCTACGCACGATGTCCTTAAAACGTATTTGTTGCCTCCCACAGTGCTAGGAGCGTTGTAACAATCGCTTCCCAGGATACGATGACTACGAACTAATGTTTGAGCACACAAACAAGAGTTCCAGCGAACGAAAACAAAGTCTGAACACTCAGGAATTTTTCAGATGACTGATGGTGTTTTTAGCTGAAGAAATACGTGAGCTCGTGTATGTAAGAACGTGTAAGAACTTGTGTTTTTGCAAACCACCTGCCAGCCATTATATAAGAGGATTTGTTGTGTGTAAATGGTGAATTAATGGACCTGAACGTTGAACATCAATGACCAGTCCGTTGGGCATTGAATCGTCCATGAACTGTCCATTCAATGCTGCATTAAAAGAGACGAAGGTTGGGCATTAAATGCTGTAACGAACCAGAACAGAACACCCGAGGTGTTCTGTCCGAGCTCCGCAACAGAGGACCCCTGGGCCTTTTGTCCGAGCTCCGCAACAGAGGACCCCAAGGCCTTCTGTCCGAGCCTCGTAGAAGAAGACCCCAGGCCTTCTGTCCGTGTCGAGCAGTTCTGCCGCTAGGCACTTCTGCGACTGGGAAAAAATAAACGTTTCGGGAAGAAACAAAAATTAACCGTATCTCTTGAGAGATATATTTTTGGACAACATTCGTGTCCGCAGGTCGCCCGCGCTCGCAAGTCGCAGTTTTTCTTCTCCGATTTCGGGATTTAATTTGCACCCCTCTGCGCGCGTGGAGAGAGCCTTTACCCTAAGGAATCTTAACTCCTTAAAGGGGGAGCCCCTTTATAAAGGGTTGCAAATCCCTTGGTTTTTCCGGTGTGGGAAATAACACACTAGAAACCCATTCTTTTTCCTAGTTTTCTCATTCTAACGGGTAAACTTCGAGAATCAATTTCTCATTCACCCGTTATTCGTTTTGAGCGTACCACATATCGAATTGTAGTCCTTAACAAGGACATCCGAAACCACTTTGACCCGACCCAAATTCAGAAGTGGGCCCCCTCAAAAAATTGCCCCAAAATTACCATTTAATGCAATTTTTCACACATTTTTCCAACATAGTACGTATCATTGTACTTACATATTTTAAAGAAGTATGTATACTATATATATATATATATATCTTTGGGAAATTGCCCTAAATGAATGTAAACAACTTTTGATATTGCAACATGGAATAGGATTACTTCATTTTTCTTTTCGAAACAAGAGACTTTACTGTAATTATTGAAAAATACTGCCATTAATGATAATAAATACGGTCATGTTGAATGTCTAGTGCTACGACTATTTGACAGTAATGACTAAAATATCATATAATAATAAATATTACTCCGTATCATATTACTCCTATTTCGGGAAGAATAACATATTTTGAGATTTCATAACTTGTTTATTACTCCCATTTTCCGAAATTTCCCATTTTTTTTTACAAAATAAGCAAATGAGAGATCGATCGAGTATGTTCATAGTGTGAAAGATTGTACATTTTGACACGAAATAATGCTCGTTAAGCAAACTTTCCCATTTTGACAATAGGAGTGAAGTATTGCTAAATATTTTTTGACACGAGACAATTAATAAACAATGAATAGAGAATTAATTAGGAAAAAAGAGAGTATTAGCTAGCTAGCTAGCAGATTTATTAATTCAAGGTATGCTAAGCAAATAAAGCAGCATATACTCCGTATATATGATAGTGATACTGAATTATTATTGTTAGATGTGAAAGGGTGTTCTTAATTAATTAATTGATTATCATATATAACACCACGTAATTATAAAGACGCGATATATATAAAGTAATGATCGATCAATTATAATTCAAATCATAATGATACCCAAAATGATGGGTATAAGACATGGAGCTGCTACTCTCTCCAACATCCTGCGCCTGCTTATTGTTGTTGTCAGCTGATGATGATCTGCAGCACCTATACTTGTTATTGTTTTCTTCCTCGTACTCTTCTTTCGCTACCATCTCCTGCGGTGGCCCCAAGTAGTGCGACGGATCGTCGGAGTAGTTCCCCGGCACGGGCAGAACGGAGGGGAGCTTGGAGAGAAGAGCCTCTAGGCTGCTCATTGACGGTGTAATCTTCACCATCATGGCTGCTGCCGCCGCCGGTTGGGAGTGGTCATAGTACTCTGACGGTGGCGCCGCGGCCATAATGTTGGCGGCCGGAAAATGAGACAGCCACGGTTCCTGTGGCGGCGTGACACCGTAGGCGGGTGATGAAGATGGGTGTGGGAGGAGAACTCCCGGGATGCTCTCTATGTAGCTCAGCTTCTTTCTTAGTAGCACCACGTAACTCAGGTCTTCAATAACCTGACAACCATAACCATATAATAAGAATATAAAAAACTATTATTAAGTGCAGTCAATATTTCGTTTTTGTTTTGAATTTATGATCCATAAAATGAGTATTCCTCGGGATGGAATATATTATACGTACTCTCTCCCAATACAAAAAAAACACGGGATTAACAGAGATTTTGATATGAAATTCGTCAAAATTCATAAAGGATTTGGTAGAAATATACAATCGCATGTAAAATACATTTTGACATGAACTATTTGGCACGAAATCATCAATTAATTTGTACCAAATTCGTGTCAATTCTTCTTCTTCTTCTTCTTCTTCTTCATTACCTTAGTGCCGCAAAGGCTCCTATCTATGGTGGAGTAGGAGGGGTCAAATATACTATACATAGTCTTACCCTTGTACTAAAGTACGAAAAGACTGTTTCCGAATGACTCATAGTGAAAATCGCGTCGAAAATTGGATAGTATGACTGCTACTTCATAAAAAGAAGCGCAGACAATTTAGTTAGTCATTTTGCTATATTCGTGTCATATTATCAAATTATCAAATTCGTGTCAATCTCATAACTTTTTTGTAATGTCCTCCTATCCGTCTCATTTGAATATAATCTTTAAAGTTACTATAATTCATACTATCGACTAAATTTTATCAAATTTTTGTAATTGTAAATATCACATTTTTATCATATTTGCATTTGTGCGATTTAAAAAAACTTATAATGTAATTTTTAAATATATAAATTTTAATTTTCAAAATTTATGGGGATTCATTATTTACATCCTTTATAGTGGGTCAAGATTGAGTGGCATGGGGATGGAGGTAGTAAATATGAATGAGGTGAGGTGATACGAATTGAACATGGGGCAATGTACTCAATAATTGTTTGTATTGTATTGTTAAAAAAGGGATGTTGATTAGCTACATGAGGTAGTGGCCTGGTACAGACACCACCAGGCCGGCCAGTATTTTGTTCACAAGTACGTACCACAGCTTTTAGCAGAATATATATTTATTAAAAAAAGTTTCCATCTTTCAATACCATGTATATATATACTACTATATATTTGCATGTAACTAATTTAATTTACAGCCTGCGGTATGTATATGAATGAATGGTAAACAAAATAATTTCGTGGCCGGTCAAAAGAATTATCTAGCTAGCTAGTTTCTTGTACGTACGTACGTACGTACGGGTGAATTGAATTTGAAGAGGTGGATCGACAAATGGATATATAGACGGAACGATTCCATCAGTATGTAATGTACCTTATGAACTGCTCCCAGTTGGATAACACCTTCTCTAACAGCAATCAAAGCTATGGTCTGCAGACCAAATCAAAATCATATTGATAATAACTTTATTCTCCAAACTATATAGACGTAACAATATATTCCATGAGCACTTTTCTTTTATCATAGCAGTTTTCACTAACAACATTTCATATGGTTACCATATTATATATAAATTATTTGGGAAAAAGAATGATATACCATTTGACAAAGTCTAACCAAGAATCAAAGATCACTACGTTTCAAGGAACATGGCTAGGGAGTGTATTATTAGGAATATTTCCCTTTTGGAGCATTTTCTGAAAATAAGAGTAAAACAAAGTGATTTCCCCAAATAGACTTGTGTAAATAAAGTATTGTCATTTTGAAATTGTATTGAAATACTAGCTATGACATTATTGTTCGGCATTAATGGATATGTTAATTTAATAACATTATTAGTTAGTTTCATAATATGATAATGAATGATATACTCCGGAAAGAAGCTAAGCTAGTTGAAAATATTTGTAGCATATGATAAGAAGCTGACGCGGATTGCTACGTTTGGAAACGGAGTGAGAAATTGAAGGATAAATACTATCCTCCGTTTTTTTCAATGGCAACATGTTTTACTTTGACTACATTGTACGCTATTATTATATGAAAATTATTTTTTTTTTAAAATATTGTTCAATTCATCTCATTACAAATTTTCAAAATGTGATTTTCAAATTTTTTTTACTAATAGAGATTAAGATATAATTACGGTCAAAGACGTTCATTGGCAAGTGTGAAATGTTGACCGTTACAACTAAAAAAGAATGGAGGAAGTATATACTACTCCGTAGTCATACTAACTATTACGTAGTACTATCCTCCGTTCTTTAAAATCTTCTCATTTCAAAAGTAGGTAAATTAAGAATAGTGAAAGATTATATGAATTATTGAGGGTATGATGGGAAAATAGTGGAATAATGTGGTGAAATGTAAGATAAATCCAAAAAAAAGTAGTTGTAATAGTGTACTTGTATTATTTTAAGAATTATTGAGGGTATGATGAGAAGATTTAGAAATGAGAAGATTTTTTTTTGTTACGGATTAAAAAAGAAAGTGGAAAATTTTTTAAGTTAAGAAGGGAGTATTAATTAATGAATGGCTAGCTAGGTAGGGCGGGAGTATGGTATGATTCTTTGTTGATAGGACCACCGACCACTAGTTATTTGGAAATGTTGAAACATTCATGATATAGTATTACCACAGTTGATGACCACATACGAAAGAGATAGATCACATCCATCCATGATCATGACAACTTCCATCAACACTGGCCGGCCCAATGGACCAGTTTTAAGATTCAGTCTTATCTTTCAACTCCGATCCATCATCCATCATAATTATAAATAAATCATTTCTATAATATTATATACAGAGCATTATTATTTTTATACCTTAATACCAGATCGAAACTGAGCTTCCCAAGTCCTCGGATGCTGTTAATTAGAAAGAAAAAAGAAATAAAATATTATTGTTATTAAATCACAAATAAAATAAAGTTATGGTACAGCGGCATTGGAAACATAAAATATGTTTGGTAGCTCTAGCGGCTTACAGAGTCAGCAGAGTGATGCCATGCAGACAAGAAGTTGATTTCTTGATCATTTGGTTCTTTATAAATCCATTTATGGCTGTGATCTGCCGCAACTTTCCCAATCATTCTGTAGGTACACATACTAGCTAGCCTCAGATCATAGCTCACCATCAACCACTTTTTTCTACTCCATACCATCTTAGTCTCATAAAACATAGTCAAATTTTTTTTTCTAACGGTCCCAAAAAAAACTTTACCATTTTCATTGAAAAGTAACAAATTCTCAATTATACATATTTTACTCCGTACTTTATTATTCTACACTCAAGTCGACTATGACCATATTTATGAGATAGAGGGAATATATTTATATAGAGAGTATATATGTAGAGCCCGTTTAGTACCACTGAAATCGCCTTAATCGATTTATTTTGTTACAATTTATGAAGTTCTGGGTGAAGTGGTTGTATTTGTTGATTCTAGTGATTTTATTATATTTTAATTATATTTTAATTATATTTTATTAGTGAAATAAAGAAAAAATTATACTAATATGAAAAAATAGCTAATAAAGTGTTTATGTAGAGTAACTTGAGTCATCAATACACTCAGAGTAGTAACTTAACCTTACTTTCTCTTTATTATGATTACTTTTTCTTTATTATGATTACACAATTCTGATAAGCCGAAAAAACCGAGTAACGCTCGTAGTTTATTTCCGGCCCCTCCATTTGAGGTTGATTTACAAAATTTAATTGAAATATATTCTATTGGAGGTGACGGTATCAGTCAGAGCCCCTATATGAAAACCACAATATAAATACTTGAGCAAATTAAAACGGAAATCAATATTATAGCAGCTAGATCTATCTCTGCGATTAGTAATTACGGAGTACTATATATTATTGGATGGACGTTCGTACGTACCCTTCGCCGTAGTTGTATATCTCGTGAGACATCTTGAAGAAGAGTTCCGGCTGAAGCCCATCATGTCCCGCCCCACACTGATCTTCCGCATTCATCTCCACCGCCGCCCCCGCCGCCGCAAAGTTACAAAACCCATCTTCCCAGACCAGTATCCTATTTATATATTATATTACTCCGTATATATCATTTTCCTCAACTAGAAATCCATCTTGTTTGAACTTTTGTTTTTATTTTTTGAAAGAAAAAGAAAAAGAATTTACATACCAGTTTCTTCTATTGCCTCTTGACCTGTCATAAGCACTACCTTGGGTGTCCCACCTGCGCATAGCATTATTCAAGAATGAATTGAAGGCCATACATAATTACTAAGTACTCTTCAAGCTATGAAAATATATGGTTTAAAGGCCTGCATAAATATTTGTATGTGTTTAATTAATGACTTGCTATCAATAGCTAGCTAGTAATGATTAATGAATGAAGTGAATCGAATAACGTTATATATATTATGATCTGATGATTGGTACGTTATAAGGTGCTTATTGTAATTATTTACTGACTTGGGAGGAGGATAGTTTCTGGGCAAAATTCTCCAGAAAACAGCGTATACCCACTGCGAGCTTTCATGGATGCACAAGCTTCTCAGGGTATGTTGAAGAAGATGAGTAACAGCTAAAGAGCTCAGCTGCTGCTGCTGCTCTTCCATTCTTTTCTTCTCTTGAAGCTAGCTGCCCAAACACGCCCTTTGCTTTTTCCTTTCTATACTTTGTTTTCTCCTTTATTCGGTACACATCTTCCATCTATTGATGCTCTGCGCCATAAATCATACTTATACAAATAATAATAATGCTCTCATCTATCTATCCATATTTAAAAGAAGCAAAAACCCAACACCCTTTACTTGCTTTATATAAGGGCACCACCACCATCTCAGTGTTCACATTAATTATTTATTTTTTGAAGACTTTACCAAAATCTAAGCTGTGGGTCCAAACTTTTCTTTTTGCCCACTTTTGTGTTAGCCAGCAGTGTAGCTGTGTACCGTCTAGTTTGTTTATTTCCTTGCATACCCTAAATTTTTAATCAAGTCCCAACAATTACTTCATGTATATCACTTTATTTGTCTCACTTTCTCTTTTGGGACATAACAAATTAGTTGTCTCATTTCTCATTTTGGGAAGATACTCATTCAAAAAGCAGCTACAACATTGTTATAGTACCAAAAATTTCATACTTTTTATAATTATATTAAAGTTTATACTATAGTAGTAATTATCTTAAGGTAGATTCTATGGTACCTAAAAGGTACCGTACCTTTGTTCACTTGGACCAATCAAAATGTTGCAGTTGAATTATTTAAATCTAAATTAAAAATGATTTAATGATGTGGACCAATCATGTGAGTGGTAGATACGATACCTCATTTTTTAAATGGGTAACGGAGTTATCACATCTTAAATGATAGAGATAAAATGATACCGATCGGAGGTGGTACTTTTCTTTTATCAAATTAAACCAGCGCACCTATTGTCGTCGTCTTAAATTGAATCCACGTACTCCCTGAATCCATTTTAATATCTAAGACCCTTGTACTTATTTCAAAAGGTCACGTTTTAGTAATTCATATTCAAAATTAGGCATAATTTCATTGAAAAACATGTGGGTAGGGATGGCAAGGGGGTTCGATCACTCCCCCACCCCGCCCCATGTCTAAAAAGTTCACCTCATCTCCGCCCCATCCCCCGTCACTCCCAGACCCGCCCCATCCCGTTGTCCCCCACGGGTACCCACGGGTGCCCCCATATATATTTTAATAATCTTATTTGTGTATTTTTTAAATCCATTTTATAGATAAATAAATATATATAACACTGAAACGGTTAAACTAGATTATATTGTGTTCGATAAAAGATGATACCGCCGATTTACAATAATTCTTCAATTTGAATAAGTTCTATGGAAATAATAAAACTAAAAGTATAAGTAAACATATTACAATCATGTATGTTGTTCCAAATTTCTCATCAATTATACTACAATTAATTATATATATTATACATATGTTTGTGTAGTGTGTGTGTTCTATTTACTTAGTTTCTCACTTTTAAAACTCATATATCATTTCTGACAAGTATTTTTAGTCATTACTTATTATTCTAATATAATACTTAAGTAGTATTAGTTCATTAATCATGACTAATACACATACATATTAATCATGACTAATACACATACATGCATGCATGTCTATAAGTATGTGTATGTGTTTGTTATATAGTACATATAATTTAATTAAATATGCTTATACATTATTAATATATGTATGTAATTATGTATGTATGTATGTATGTATGTATGTATGTATGTATGTATGTATGTATGTATGTATGTATGTATGTATGTATGTATGTATGTATGTATGTATGTATGTATGTATGTATGTATGCATGCATGCATGTATGTATGTATGCATGCATGCATGCATGTATGTATGTATGTATGTATGTATGTATGTATGTATGTATGTATGTATGTATGTATGAATGTATGTATGTATGTATGTATGTATGTATGTATATGTATGTATGTTTGAGTATATATTTAATTATAACAGGTATGGGGCGGGGACAGGGCGGGTGTAGTAATCCCCATCCCCTCCCCCGCCCCACCCCAAGCCCCGTTCCATCCTTCCCCCACGGGGCGGTTCCCCACGGGTCCCCGCCCCCATTGTCATCCTTACATGTGAGAAAATTCTTTTAGTAGCCAGAGACAAAAATACAGGCAAAGAAGAATTTTTTATTTTTTACATTCAAATTCATACTACGTATATTTGTGCAGTAGAGCTAGGCGTGACGTGTCAGGGACTGATTCAGTATTATATTCTGGATTGGACTCAGCATAAGAGTAATTATATCAGACTTAAATATTAGCGGGGTAGGCTGAATGTGGTAAACTAAAAAATTTACATTTAAAAATTAAAACAATTAAGTTACTCTAAGCTACGGCCTATCATAGTCCGTACATATATCCTTCCCTAGACGTGTCCTAAGGTTAGCAGTGTCGTCTTCTCTTTAGATCGAGCAAGATTTAGAGCAAGTGTCCAGCAGATTTGTGTAGACAACTGTGAAAAGACAACATGATATGGAGTGGTATGGTTTCAGCCTAGGGATGGAGCTATTGATTAGGGGCGGGCAAAATTACCGAACCGGGCCGATATGGTACCGGACCAAATTACGGGGTTTGAAATGGTTTTCAAGATTTTTGTCCCGAACCGGATCGTACCGGTTCCAAACCATGCCATGACTGGTTCTCGTAAAATGAGAACCGATTCCGGACCGAACCGGACCGAATTATGATTTATATAATTAATAATTTATAATTATTGTGCATGTATACCATTTGATGACTCATTCCAATTCGCACTTTGCCACTTTGTATAAGGGAGTGTTTGCGATTGCTTCAACTTTAAAAAAGTGATTTTTTAAAGTGATTTTGGGAAAAGTGATTAATAATAAAAGTTGGTAGTGTTTGAGAAAAAAGTGATTCTGAAAAAGTAAAAGTTAGTAGTGTTTGGTAAAATAAGTACTTTTTGTGTAATAGAAAAAGTGAGAAGCAGTTTAAAACACCCTTCTACATGCTTCCAGCTTTTAGCTTTTAAGTGATTAATTTAAGCAGAAGGTATCATTTGAAAACACTCTTTTCAACTTTTTTAGGTCAAAAGCTGAAAAGCGCTTTTTTTAATCTAACCCCAAACACTCCTTAAATTTATTATAATTGTGTACTACTACGTACTATAGTGTAAGGGAGAAACAAATTGAAGATCATTTGCCATAAAGTAAGTATGAAGGCACTTTAATTGTTAAATAGTTAATACTTTAGTTTATTTTATGTGTTCTTTTTTAAAACATTGTAGCGCATGTATTTCCGGGGAAGTGAAGCTTTGGATATCATCAGTTGCAGTCCGGAGACCAGTGGTGCTTGAAGAGTTTTGGTCGTGAACGTTTTGTGATATATGTTTTGTATTACTGTAGTTTATTTGAAATTTATTAATTATGTAATTTTAAAATTGATAAATTGTGCGGATTTTTGGATTATGACTAAACTTTATTTTGTCAAAAAAGTGGCATTGTTTTGTATTGGTATGATATGGTACCGTCCCGTTTGAAATTGGAACCGTACCGAACGGGTTTAGGTCTAAGACCGAACCGAACCGTTTCAATAGTAACGGTCCGGGTACGGGTTTTGTCAAATACCAGAATGGACCGGACCGCGCCCACCCCTACTATTGATCGTGCATGGGAGGTTGTTTTTGCTTCTTCTTAGTGTTTATAGTACTCCTTCAACCATGCATATCTATGTTTTTATCAAAGAACATCATGAATTCATGATTTTCATTATCTCATCCAGGATTGGGCATATCGGCTTTCGGTTCGGTTTTTATCGGTTTCGATTTGGAACAGGTTGGGAGAATTATTACCAAACAAAAACTATATGACGTGCACTTTGTCGTATGTGCACTCAAATTAAATATCAATACGACACTAATACGTAGTATAGTGTAGTAAGGTTCGTATCCACAGGGAAAGGAATACTTCTCTTTTTATATAACTAGTAACAAGGGGTTTTTTAGATTTGATTTGATTTAATTTAATTTAATTTAATTAAAACTAAGATGAATGACTTAAATAAGTTTAATTAATAGAGATGAGGACTTGGTTTTGCTTTTATCCACTTAATGAAATGTTCGTCGATCCCGGTTATATCTTTAACTATCTTCCTCTCGAATACTCAATCGAGAAGTATATCCAGTTCATCGAGGGTAGTTATTAATAACGAGACGTGTTCATTAATAAAACTTACTACCGAATTAATATAGAACACGCGCCGTATATTAACCCGATAGTAGCAATAAAATCAAGATGAAAACGATTGAGATTGATAACTTCAACACAAGCGGTTTATGGGTTTGATCAACATAATTAATTCCCCTTAGTTTTTTTTTTTGCAAGAAAAGAAATTAATTCTCATTAATCAAATCATCATCCAAAGCAGGAACAATAAAAGAAGGAGGAGAATAAAACCAAGATCGCGAATCAGACAAAGAACAAGCAGCTTTGGCTAAACCATGAGCTGTCTTGTTCGCTGACCGCCTAATATGACAAAAAGAAATGCTCGAAAAATGTTGCGTCAAATCTCTGATGTCGTTACCAATCAAGCCCATAAGAGAACAACTCGAACCATGCAATATTTCGTCAATAGCCCGGGATGCATCGGACTCCACTTCAACTTGGGTCCAACCTTCTGCTTTCAGCCAACTTAAAGCCTCACGCACTCCTATCAGTTCAGCACATAAAGGAGATAGTTTCCCCCGCCAAGGACGAGAAACCGCAGCCACAAAACAGCCCCTGTCATCCCGCAAACACCACCCCAGGCCACATCTATTCACCCGAACAGCTGCATCAATGTTTAGCTTCAACTTCCCTTGTTTCGGTCTGCTCCAGGAAGCCGCAAGTTGCTGCTCAGTGTGTCTCTTCCCTTTCCGAGTTGTCTGAATTTGAGTCCAGCTGTCCACAAATGCCTTGGCACGGTGTATAACCTGCTGCACGGGAGAAGACACACCTTGCCAAACACGATGATTCCTCTCACACCATATAGCCCAGCAGCCCCATATCAACTTTTCCTATGCCTCCCTCCTTTGAGCCCCATATTCCCCTTGGTTTATTAACCATGAAACGCATGCATTAATATCCCAAGTTTACTACCGTGAAAGGACCGAATAAATAACAAGCGTATTAATCGACCGATTCTAGTTATAATTAATATATGAAACAAAACTAGTTGATCCTTTAAGTAATGTTCAAAATATTAATATGAAATATGAATATGAATTAATTAATACTCAAGGAAGAATATTAAAAAAGATGAATTCTACTATATATAGTTAATATCAAGATGTTAACTAATTGTCATCTTAGTAACACTCCCCAATATTAACATAGAGGAAGAAATAACTATTACTATAACTAATGTCAAGATGTTAACTAATTGTCATCATAGTAACACTCTCCAACATTGATATAGAAATAGTATTTAAAGGAAGAATTAATATTCAAGGAAGAAGATTAAAGAGAATAACTCACAACTTACAAATTCATTAAGCTTCAAAGTAGCAAAACCAAGATGGAAGAGTTTAGCTCCTCATTTGGAGACTAAACATGATAGAAAATATAAAGAAAACACTAATTTAAACTGAGCTAAAGAGTATATGTGAATTGGTGATTTTATTGTGAAGGAAAGGGGTGTATTTATAGACTTTTGGGAGCTGCAGGGTCTGATACCCGACCGGGTATATAGGATACCCGACCGGGTATCTCAAGAAATTGGCCAGAAAGTCACTTTTCTGGGCATACCCGATCGGGTAAGGGTATATACCCGATCGGGTATGTGACGAAATCTTACGAAAATCTACTCCCACGATTGTTTGTTCTCGGATTTGATTTGGATAATCGAATCAAGTAAATACCTGATCGGGTATAGGCAATACCCGACCGTGTACATGAGTATTTTTTCCAAATCGAAATCTTTCTTGCCTCCTTGCACTTTCCTTGATCTTTTAAGGTCCAATCTTGCTCCCTTGGATGCTTTTTGACATGTTTAGCTCAGAAAAGCCCTAATCTAAACAATTTACAAATAATTATGAAAATAAAGTATTACACCAAAAGTATGTAATTTCCCCAACTAAAACTAATAAAAACTAGTTAAAAATACAAACATACAATCGCAAATTACACGAATATCACTATACTGTACTATTTTTCGGTTTGGTTCGGCTTAGTTCAGTTTGGTTCGGTTTGGATTTGTTATTTTTTAATAAAATATGAAGGATTTTTTGAATTTCTTTAGTTTGGTTCGGTTTTGTTTGATTTTTATCGGTTTCGGTTCGTTTCAGTTTAATACGGTTTGGAAAAAATACTACCAAACTCAAACCAAATTGCATACGGTCTGGTTTCGGTTCGGTTAGTTATGGACCCGGGCCGGGCCCGGTCGGGCTTTTTTTTGGGAATGAAGAACCGAGACCGGCCCGGGTAGTCACCGGGTCCGGTCCGGGTACGGGCCGGGCCGGGTCGTTCCTCGGGTCTATTTTTTTTTCCTTTTCCTAATTAACCCCCCGAGAACCGAGCCCGCACCGGGAACCCCTGGGGCCGGGCCTACCCGGACCGGTCACTGGCCGGGCCACCGGGCCGGGTCGGTTCAGCACAGTACCGGTCCCGGGCCGATTCTGGGTCGGGCCACCCAGCCCGAGTCTATGACTGGGTTCGGTTTAGTTCGGTTTGATACGGTTTGGTTAAACCAAACCGTTATGCCCACCCCTAATCTCATCTATGGCAGTACTGGTGGGCCGTTTGGCCGCCCCCTCCATAACCACCGCCATAGAGGGAGTGAAAGTTGGCGTTTCAAGATAAAGTTTGGCTACATGTTGATTTTAACTTTGATTTCATATCAATTTTTATATTTTGTTAGGCAACTACTCTGTCTTTTGACATGTGTTCGTGTTTGTGTCAGTCTTGTAATGTTAAAGTTTTATTACAATGAGAGGTATTGAGACTCTAGAGCGAAATCAATTTTAAAGATCTCGCATGGTTAGCGAAACGATTTGCTCAGTTCAGGGTGATCGATTTTTTCTATGTTTGATCGAGGAAGAGGAAATCATGAATATCTTGGATCTAAGAGGAATGTAGGTATTGATTTTGAATCTGATGTACGATTTATATTAGTATAGGTGATTTCCAATAAAAATGCATAGACAAAGTGCACAAATAGGAGTATCACTATTTTCTTCCTAAAATAAAATATGACTCATTCACGGGCTCTTAATTGGAGAAGTTTTATACTGTAGATTTGAAATTTAACTCGTGTAACTTTTGGGTGTGCCCGTTGTTAGTTGTGAACTTTACTTGCTTATAGATTTGGTATCGTAACTATTGAGATAAGAAGATTAGCCATTAATCACATAGGATTAGGTGGAGTCCAATATACCTCACTCCCCTCCCCCTATGGGTGGACCGGTTCCGGTTCGGGCCCGGCCGGGCCTCGGTTCAGAAATGGGAGGCCCGGAACCGGCCCGGGTAATCTCGGGTCCGGGCCGGGCCTCGGTTCTATTTTTTTTTTTGGCTTTTCCTAATTAACCCCCAACCCTCCCCCCTCACCCCCAAACCACCCCAAACCACCTCAAATGGCCCAAAATACCAAGCCCAACCCAAAAACTTAAAAAAAATTCAAAAAAAAAAAATTAATTTGGCCCGAACCGGCCGGGCCGGTTCGCCAATCAAAGGGCCCGGGCCCGAACCGCACAGTAACCGGGCCGGGCCGGGCCGACCCGAACCGCCCCGCGGACCGGTTCCCGGGCCGGGCCGGTTCAAACAGTGACCGGCCCGAGCCCATCCCTACCTCCCCCTAGGTGTGGAAGAAAGTAATTACATGCAATGCGGACTCCGTGTAAAGGGAGGTGATTTTGGGAAATTGACAGGGAAACCCTGGGTCTGGACTCTGGATAACAGGCAATGTGTTCTGTTATTTGACAAAAGGAGGGGTTGTATTACGTTAAACTTTTAAAGTATTAGAATCCAGGATTGATGGCACAGTTCTGTTTTACTAATATAATCCAATTTCTCTTATATATTAAAAAAACAAAAAAAAAAATCATTGAACTAGAATTGTGCAATCGAAATTAGTTCAACTTGGACACGCCAAACAAGCCTGAACATTATAAAAAACACGTCCTCTTGTACTACACAAGAAGAATCGTCAGAAAAGAGGTGTCAGCATCTATTTTCCTTACAGGTTAGTCTAGTTCGAAAGTATCAGCAGCATTTCTACAAAAGCTGTGATTCAGATTGGGTCTTAGAAGCCAGTAGTCACATAGTGGAAACTTCATCGACTCGTCGTTTGCAATGCCATCATTTCTAGTTACTACCTCAGATCTTTGCATTTTTTAAGAATTCCATACAGCCTCCTCACGGTTTCTTTTATTTTTTTTCAAAAAACCAATAAAACACATTATTGATTCCTTTCGGGGATATGTATTGAACCCTGAGAAGAAATATCAGCAGATTGAGGACCCAATAAGCAACTATGCCAAACAAAGACATCAGCCCATTCCACTCCAGTTCCTCAGACCACCAACCAAGTGTGAAATGAATGCTAAGCCACGTTTGGAACTCCTTAGGGTCTGTTTGTATGATGTGGGTTGGAGTGGAATGTTTACGAGGGTTATCATGATGTATAGAAATACTAGTTGAAGGCCACATTTGCTCACAGTAAGAAAAGAGGCTAATGTAACCAAACACAATCAATTAACACAATTCATTAATAGTCAAAAGAAATTGTTCCAGATTCACCCACTCTATTTCTAACTTCTCAACAAAGTAACCTGGCAATTGAGTTCTTAACTACATTTGACATAAAATAAGCATATACACAAACAAGTCACACTAAGCAGGTACATGAGCTCAGCACATTATTTTTGGAAGACCACATAGATCATGGAAGAAAGGATGATACTTTGAGAGAAGTAAGAGCTTACATGTCCAGGCAAAAGACTGCATATTCACAACAGAGTAGGGTAGGAATGAATTTAATCAACTACACATACATCCAGTTACTTATATATCCTTCCACTGTTCCACACAAACTTTCATCCTTTCAAAGTGAGAGTTGGTCTAAGGTGCTTACGTCTTGTGAGGGGGGGCATTTGAAGTCTTCTTGTAGACATTTGCACAGCAAGTGCTTACGTCTCTGCAACATCAGAAGGACAAAGATGCTATCGGTCTTGACAACGCCATAACCTGCCTTTCTATACATATTGTACGGCCCCACATCAATCATTCTACAGTGCAAGTAGACCTTTACCGAGTCACTCATTTTACAAATCAGTTCCTCACTTGCTTTCAACATGTGCCACCCTATGCTCCTCCTGGGAACCAAAATATAGCGACGGTACAAAATCAATAGTCAATCTCGCCCAAATGAAACATAATAGATTGCATGTTTTTCATTAAGATGTATACGACAAGGAGAAAATGGATCAAAGAATCTCTTGAGATGATCACTCGAAGGAAATATTTTTATTCAAAAGTGAGTGTGAGTATATTTGCACAAAAAGTTAAATACATATTACTTTCTAAACCAAATTTAATACTTTCGTCTATGCTTAAAAGTAAGTATTATCTATTTATCCTTTTTATCTTAAAGTAGTAGTTTTTATCATTTTTTATCTATCATTTATACCTTTATCTGAAATTTATCTTTATCTTCTCTTTTATCTTTTTTTTTTTTAATCTTACCTTATCTTGTTATACGATAGTATATTAGTATTTCTTATCTTTTGATCTTTCTTATCTTTTTAGCTCCGATTTCATGTGTGATTCATGTTAGCCGATCCCAAACTGTTTTGGGACTAAGGCTTGGATGTTTGTAACAAGGGCAGTTAATAGTGAAAAGGCAGAAGAAAATGATGGGGCCCAGGAGATAATCAAGTGGCAATTAACGGAGGGGAAAGACGGAGTACCCGCACCAAAATAACAAACACAAAGGTGAAGGATTATGTGTGGTCCCACTAATAGTATAAATACTTATTTTATATGTTATCTAAAGAGTATGGAACTTGTATGACTCTCTTCCTCTTTCTCCTGGAACTTTCTGTTAAATAATTTGTTCAATCCAGATTTATCAATAGCTATGGAAACCGCCTTATCTCCTTACTTCATCTTCTTTTAGAGTATAACTCTTGCCATTGTTTATACCCCTGTTACAATGTTGTTGTCGTTGTATGCTTAGAAGTAAGTAATTTCCCCTCCATCTCATTCCTTGGGTTGAAAGTTTGAAACTACTTCCAGTTTAATATTTTGAAGCATTTATTTAGAATTGGAATATTAATTATTATTGTTATATACTTAGAAATTACATTGGAATATACTCTTAAACGTTGGTACCAAACAAGATCAATCTTACTGAAACCAAAAGCACCAGATGACAAGTATTCTTAGCCTCGAGCAATTAAACAAAGAGCAATGTGTAGACCTTTACTCACTCCCATCATTAGTCAAGGTCCTTCAACGCCCTAGCTAGCATGAAGATCTAAAGCTATTTCTAAGCAATAGAACTATATCATGTATGCAGAGCTCGTTCGATAGATCGTGATTTTGGCTATTTGTGAAATTAAGGTCAAATGCAGGAACTTGCTGATTCATAAAAATTACTTTTAATAAAATCATGTATCATGTATGCAATTAAAGGAAAAACTATTATTTGCATTCATTTGAACAAAGTCAAGCCAAAAAGTAGCATTGCAAACGAACTTAGCTAGTGATTGGTAATAAAAAAAAAACTAGGACTGAAAAACAGAAAATAGATTTTTCAAACGAGCAAGTGATACAAAACTGACCTCCTTAATGACTTTATGACAGCCATATTGCATATGTAAGGTGAATTCATGGGAGCAGTAGGGGTGGGAGGGTTAGTATTAGCACCTCTTCCATCAAAAGACACCTCCACAGTCCCAGCCAGCTTCATCTCTCCATCTCCATCTTCTTCTCTGTAAAACCCCACAAGTGTGGCAGCGTGAGGCATCAGCCTTCTCCTGTCAATCAAGTACTGCCTCACAAAAAACTGCAACACCTTCAAATACCTCATGGATATCATCATCGACTCTGCAAATGACTCTGCCAACAAACTCACTGTCATCTCCAGCTCTTCTGGCTTCATGACCCTTACCCAGAGCGACCCAGACTTCAATTCTTGAAAATAATTAAAGTTTTGGAGCTTCTCGAGCTCTTCGTTACTGAGAAACCGGCCTGTTGGCCGCGGGGTAGTTGGAGAAGATAATGAGGAGGGAGGAGGAGAGTCGGTGGCTGAGAGCAGAGGAAGGATTGGATTGGGAGAGTTGACATTCGTGGAGATGGGGAAATGGTGCGAGTGTTTGGGGGTCAAAATTGAATCGGTGAAGTAAGCGAGATGGTGGCGACGGGATTGGTGGGGGTCGATGAAATGGGAGCAAGAAACCGTAGTTGCCATATCTATCTAAAGAGTGATGATGCACCAGCATCCCGGACATTGGTCCGCATAAGGATAGTTTTTTGCTCAAGGAAGTCTTTTTTTAAATACTTAAATTAATTAATTAAACACTTAAAAATAATAATTTTTCCCTTTTTTTCATAGCTATTTTATCTCTCAAACACTACCATCTTTTATATTGAGCGCTTCTCTATTCAAAAATCATTTATTTAAACAATGAGCAATTGCAAACATTCTATAAGAGAGTTTCATTTCTCATTTTAAAACTGATCGCAATCAAGCTCCGTCAATAAATGAAATTCTCCACCAGAGGTATTCACTCAGTTAATTGAGTTTATATTGCAACTCAACACAATTAATATATTGACCCTGTAAATTATTTTTTATTAAAGTCCTATTGTTATAAGTAATATCAATTTTTCCATTTTTTGCAAAGAATTATTATGATTTAAAACTCAAACATTTCGATGTAAAAAGTAATAATTCGGAGCATGATTTTATTTTGATTACTTTAAAGCTATTTTGAAATAAAAGCAATTCAAAGATGTAAAAAAATATTTTAATAATGAGATCCTAATATTAACACCTGAATCTAATTAAGAAAATTTTTAGATTTGAAAACCTTCATTAGTTGTGTTGAGGTAATTGGCCCAATACAGGATCGGTCCAATACCCCGACACTCGTCAAGGCCCATATTTCGTTCGTCACCTATACCTTGGCCCGTTTTCACCCAAGCAATCAACGAGGGGCCTCGACGGAGGCGCTCGGCAGACCCCCGAGCGGCACCTTGGCCTTGCGCTTACTGGGGCATAGACCATGAACGCCTCAGTTAGGACACCCAACATAATTGGCAGGAAAGCAAGTATATATACCAGAAACACATTAAATACACCATATATGCAAGATTTTGTGGTTGGAAGGCTAGCCGCTCATGATCCTCCACATCACCATTACCACCTGCCCCATGGTAGTATAAATAGTACTCTCTCCGTCCCATTTAAAGGTTCCCGTGGAAAAATAGCACGATTATTAAGACAATAATTAAATATGCTAATTCGAGTATATTTTGAGAAATAATTTTGATGAGTATATAATATAATGGGTTATTGATGATAACTGTGATTTTATAAATATTTTTTTTAGTATTTGATGGTTAAATTGTAATTTAAGAGTGTTAATTGTTTCCTAAAATAGAAAGTGAGAACCTTTAAGTGGGATGTCAAAAAAGGAAAGTGGAAACCTTTAAATGGGACGGAGGGAGTAGCATTTATTTCATTATCAGGGGTTGACAACTTGTATTCACTAGCATTATCTTCTAATCTTTGTACTCCCAGCTCAGTTTAAATGTTCGGCTCTCGATAGGGTGTGTTGTAATTGCTCGTTATTATTATTACTTAATAAGAACTCAGCCCACTTAATGTCTCCTTATTTGCTATATACTTATGCCACTTAACTCACCCTACTTACTAAAATATCCATCAAAGTTCAAGGGAACATGTAATTTTGGGCCATTGGAGTTCGAGGAATTAACCTCAACACTGGCGCCATCTGTGGAAAACTAGAACAAAAATCTCCCGATCAAGCTCTTGTGCTAGGCAACACCTTCGAAACTCTTCTGCAAACAACATGGTCAGATTCTCTTCTAAACGCACTCGAGATCTCACCGAGCTACTGGCGAACAACAGGAGGTCACACACGCTGACATCCGCAGAGCCATCCGGCAGCGAATGGATCCAGAAGGTCCATGACGGAGATGTTACGAACCTGATCCCCCTAGAGGCCAGGAGAGACCCTCGGATCATGAGGGAGCTGGCGGAGGCCGTGCGACGCATGGCAGATCAGAATGATGCGGATCAAAACATCAACTCGGCAGAAACCGAGCATAACCACCTTCCCCCATTTGACGCATGCAGCCTTTGGGGGGATCTACCGATGAGGCCAAGGCTTCCCAAACCTCAGTACACACACGCATTGGCGGATCGACGAGTTCCCGTGGCATGGGAGGTTGAGGACGCTCGGGTGCGCCGAGGCACAGACGATATGCCGCGATGGATCGAACTCTTGTGGTTCCATGCAACAGCACTGAGGTCAGGGAGCCAACTCCCACGGTGAGTAACGTGAGCCTCCGTTTCCAATACATTGAGGGAATGGTAACCGCATCATCCAAAGGCAGCACCGCGTAGGACCAACTCGCGTCGAGACATAAACGACAATCATAAAGTACATGATTTAAATAGAGTCAACCATCATCCTATATTTAAATTCTAAATGAGTGATCATCACAATAACTTCTTTAACATTTCTTTCGGTCAGGATTAATAAAAACTTTGTCTACATATTTTGTACATTAATTATATAGTTTTTGTTTTTGAGGAATACATTAATTATATAGTTGGAAATTTAAATTATTAATATTAGTATAAAATATAGTTATTATAAATTTATGGTGATAATTGATTGTATTAATAGTAAAGGTTAATCATTTTAATAAGAAATTTTATTAATTAATAATTAGATTAGTGACTTTGGAATAGTAATTTCGAGTCTAAAATCAGCTTAATTAATTAATTAATTAATTAATCATATAAAACCAATGTAATTGGGCCACTTTTTCGATGGGCTCTCACTTTTATTATTACGAAGTACGGACTACGGAGTACGGAGTATTTTTTTATGGATTTTCCACTTTCAATGCCCAGTGATATGTTTGGACAATGGCAAATTTGAGCTTTCTTCCAAATCCAAAGATATACGGGTGGGCGTAGCTCAACTGGTAGTGAGGGAGTGCCACAAGGGTTAGGTCCAGAGCCCCACTCTCTATCTGTCAGATTGTGATTATAGTCCAATTTACATCCTCCCATCCGGTCCGGTCTGTGTTGGGGGCCTCAGGGATGGGTGTCATCCTTTTTTTTTTTTTTCCCAAATCCAAAGATAAAGAAGAAGACCAGGTAAGCAAGAGAGCGAATAGTGAGGAGTGGGGCGTCCATGGAAGCTCACGGCAACGAAGATTTCGCCGTTGGGTGCATACTCTCCATTGAAACAACTTTCGGTGAAGAGTTCCAAGGAAAAGTTATCACCTTCGACCGCCCCTCCAACATCCTTGTTATTCATATCCTTTGTTAATCAACCTTTGATCTATTCTATTTTTCAATAGCATTATTCTCACTTCTAGTGAAGCAGCATCTATTCTATTTTTTCTATTGCGTCATTCTTTCTGCAAGGGGAGTATAGTGTTTTTCGTTTCACGTTTTTATTTGATTTCTTTGACTTTGATATTGAAGTACAAGAAGGAACGAATTCAGTGGCAGGGACCAAGATGAATATAAGGCTATTGAAAGCCAACTATATCAAGGAGTTCGCTCTCTTGGGTCAAGGAGAAGATCCGCTTGACGCCAGCAAGTGTTTTCTCGATCTAGAAACTCTTAAATCCAGAGAAGATTCTGCTATTAGGTTTTTTTATTCAAACTATTCATGTGGAGTTTGCTTCCATTTCTGTTTCCTTCATAAATAATTTTGGATGCAATCGTTCTGATGGATTGGGGTTGGATTTTGTTGTGCAGACAAGCAGAATTGGATGCAGAGAGATTTGGAGTTGGTGTCACACCCGAGGCTCAGAGCATATTTGATGCTTTGGCTAAAACGTGATGCACCCTTCCTTTACTTTCCAGTTCCTCCCTATACTATGAAATTCTTTACAATTTAATTTTGCGAAAATGGGATTTTTGCGTAACCTTGAACTGGGGTTGCATTTTTTTCAATGAACATATTACATTCTTATTATTCTGATGTGTTTTCAGTTTTTAAGATGACAAAGTTATTAGTTTTATGTGGGGTAGTGAGTAATAGCTCTGTGTTTCAAGAATGGATCCGTAGTGAAAACAATTGTAATGTTAACCAAGTAGCCTTCTTGATTCCTTCCGTCTTAATTGCAGAAGCATAAAACTTCTAATAAGCTATTTTGAGCATGTATTTATGTCTTTCTGAAACTATGTGCAATGTTCATCATGATGCAATATGCTTAAGTAATTCAGTGTTAAACATGTAATGTGACACCTTTTACAAAAGATAGCTAATAATACTGAAGGATATTTGTTTTTCTTGTACATGCAATCGCAAAGATTCTCTTAGCTTCAACGGTCACAATTAAGAATTGAGTACTTACTGTATATCTACCAGTTCACGAGATCTGCTCTGAAATTGGAATTAGGCTGGGTTTAGAAGGAAAAAATGCAGGTGATGATTAATCTTGTCTTAGAAGGGATTTTTACGACAATGAGATTATTGTCACTCATGTCTAGTATGCTTATTAAAGTAGCAGTAAAAAGTGATCATTAATGACCTTTTTTCTTCGCCTAAAATAGCGATTGGTTTTGATCGTTATGGTCTTAATGTTTATGATCTTGCTTAAGTTTCTGGTCTAAATATGACATCTGGCCTGATCCAAACCTTGTCTTTTTTGTCTCATTTGTTCTAGCCCGAACAGTTCTTGTTCAGTCTGATCCAAACCTTGTCTTTTTTGTCTCATTTGTTCTAGCCCGAACAGTTCTTGTTCAGTTTGGTGTGATTAAAAAAAAATAACTTCTGACCAAAAATAATAATGTGGAAAGCAACACCTAAAAGGCTAAAACAATGCCTTATGGGCCGGGGGCATAGTTGGCTGAGCATCTAAGAAGACCGGCTTTCAAGATTTACCTTTTATTTAGGGGTGCCTAATGCCTAGACCGATTTTTACAGCATGGAGTCAAGCCAATCGGTGCATGTAAGACTAACTGAACATTGAAGCCATGAATAACTTGAATTGTGACTGATATCACTTGGCTATCTCTATTGAGTATGTTCACAACGGACAGTAAATTTTTTTTGAAAAATAATTAATCAGGCTAGTTTTTATATTTTATTTATATTTTAAAAGGAATTTGTGAGGCTTGGCTCATTGGAGATGTATGAATCCCACTGTTCCATGCTGTGAGGCTAACAATTCTGAGGAATGAGCCTCATGAGTGTCAAGGTATTTTTTATGCTCAAGCCTCATATTTCTTAAGACTTATCTTGGTCTTATTGGG